CCACCACCCTCCCTCCTTCTGAGGTTTGGGTCTCCTAGGCCCACCCTTTCTAGGGCAGGAACCGCTACCTCTGGGGTGGACTGCGTGCCTGTGTGGGGTCGGACTGCCCTTGGGAGGAGGGCCTGGCCCAGGAGCAGGGGCTTGGAGTGGGGCTGGTGCCCGGGATAGAAGTGGGAAACAGATGGGGGCCCCAGCACCGAAGCTGCCCTCACCCCTCCACCAGAGCTGAGTACATACCTCCCTCCCCGGCCCCCTGAGATTCGTATGGGGCACAGAAGGCAGGGGGTCACCCCCACCCTATTCTGTTCTCTTCTCCCAGCCTCCCAGCGTGTGCCTGGAATCTTGCTGGGAAGAGGGAGCTCCCCCTCCACTCCCCACCCCATAGCCTGAGCCTTCCAACTGTCAAGTTTGAAAAGAAGCCACCGTGCCTCCAGGGCCTCCTGCACCGCAGAGAGGGGCTCTCTGCTCTGGGAGGCTGCTCAGCGCCTCTCCCACAGCCTGCACTCTCCTTTCCCTTAAATGGGCACAGCCAGGGTGGCTGGCACGGGACTGGCACTCTGTACCTCCACTCCGTCACCAGGGACAGCCCCGAGGGGGTGAGGAAAGGGGCCTTGCTCTGCAATTCCCAGAGCCAGATCTTCCTCATCCAAGCAATAACGGAACGAGGGAGCCAGGGCCAAGGACACTCAGGGACACTGTTGGGGCCGGAGCCCCACATGGTAATGTTTTCTTTAGGGAGAAGAAAAAACAACTGGCTGTAAACATAAATTATATTTCTTGGAGAAAGAATGTGCATTTCCCATGTGCCTGTTTATTTATAATCCCTGGGAGCACCGGAACCCACTGCTGTGGGGACCCTGGACTCCCTCTGGCACTGCCCCCACCCCACGTACCTCCTGTTCCATGTCAGACTGACCCTGCCAGCTGTTGTGTGCTGTCTGGGGAACAAGTACTGTCGTCAGCAGTGGCGTTTGCCCCTCGAGGCTGCTGTCCTGTCTTGCGGAATCTCACTGCTTAATTCTGCAGAAGATTTTGTATGTTTTTGAATCACCCTCAAGCTGGGCCGATCGTTCTCTATTCTTTCACTGGCGCTGCCCCTCCACCCCCTCCATGACTCCATCTCTCTCGCTCTGTTTTCCTCTTTCTGTCTCTCTCCTTCTTAGTCTCTTTTTGCTCTGTTTTGGCATTTCTTTCTCCGCTTGTTGTTCAGGAAAAGAATAACGATTTAAAGAAAGGAAGAAAGTTGTAAAACCCCAAGCCTGGAGGCCCATCTCATGGGAGAAGATCCTGCCAGGCCTTCATCACCATGGCAACAGGGGCATACCAGGCCAAAAGGTCAGGCCCTGCCCAGAAGCTCTGTGGGCACACGGGGCTGAGCCCTGGCTAAGGAGGAGGCTGGGCATGGATCTGGGGCAGTCAGCTTGCAAATGAGAGTGAAGGCCTTGAATGGACAGAAAGAGGAAGTGGGTGGGGAAGATCGGAGGCTGCCTCCTTCCCGAGGAGGAAGCGGGTCTGGGGCCTGGCTGCTGCAGACCTTGTGCCTCCCATAGCTCCCCCTGTTGGGGTTCCGTCAGGGCCAGTGGGCCTTCCAGGGTCTGGAAACTTGGAGAAAGTAATTTGATGATCACTCAGGTGGGGTAGGAGCTGCAGCTGACTGGGGACTGTCCTCTTGACCTGCCACTTGTATCGCAGCATAGGGAAAATACCCCTGGGCCTGGAATCAGAAGAGGGGTTCCAGGCCTAGTTCTGCTGTTGACCAAGTGATCTTGAGCAAGTCACGACCCCCCTGGGCCTTAGCTTCTTCATCTGTACATGAGGAGTTGGGCTTATTTATTTACTTTTATTTTATTGTTTTCCAAGATGGAGTCTCTCTCTGTTGCCCAGGCTGGAGTGCAGCAGCACGATCTTGGCTCACTGCAACCTCTGTCTCCCACGTTCAAGCGGTTCTCCTGCCTCAGTCTCCTGAGTAGCTGGGATTACAGGTGCACACCACCACGCCCGGCTGATTTTTGTATTTTTAATAGAGACGGGGTTTCACCATGTTGGCCAGGCTAGTCTCGAATTCCTGACCTCAGGTGATCTGCCTGCCTCGGCCTCCCAAAGTGCTGGAATTACAGGCGTGAAGCACTGCACCTGGCCCAAGAAATTGGGTTTATTTAGATCTGATGCTGCAGCTCAATACTTGATGCAAGGGGTTTGTCTACCTTCCTTTATGCAAACCTTAGACACAGGAACAGGAGGGTGCAGAGGCAGCCATGGTCACTTGCAGTAACTGCTGTCATTAGTGAGCTCAGATCTCCTCCCTCTGTCTGGTCTGTTTCCCTGTACTTCATCCCCTGCTGCTCTCACCTGAGGACTCTAGGTTGGGGCAAAGTCCTGGCAACGAGTCCCCCTGGGACATCCTGAGGCACTCAGGGCCCTACCCTTTTGCTTTGTCAAACGTGGCACCCACAGCCATGACTACTCGCCAGCTGAGCCGGAGCTCCCCCGAGGAATGGGAATGGGCTCTGTCCCGGGCTCTGCTACTCACTTGCTCTACACCCTCAGAAGCCAGTCCCTTCTGGAAAGTTTGAATGTGGTTAAATTGGGTACTGATGCCATAGAGCATGACTGAGGGTTTCTGTCTCCATGTGAGTAGGGAGGGAGCTACTGCCAGGGACAGCTGGGTGTCACAGCTCCCCTTGGTGACAGAGAGAGCACTGTATTAGGAGTCCTAGCATTCCCCCACCCACAACTTCCTGTGATTCCCACTTGGCCTCCGGGGAGCAGGGGGCAGGGGAGACTGGAAGAGACGCTTTAACAATGGGATGGGATGGATGGGCTGCCTCTGCGGTTCCCCACATCGTGCCGGGGCAGTCAGAAGTGGGCAGGCCATGGGGGAATAGGGTAGGGAAATTCCGCAAGAGTCATGTTTGTACCAGGGATTCAGGGGCAGAGGCCAAGGGAGCTGGCGGTCAGAGCAAGAAGCTTCCTTCCTGCTGTGGGAACCAAGTGGAGGGAAAGGCAGAGGAGGCGGCAGGGCAAGAAACAGGGTGGGGAGGGCGAGTGACTCACCCATAAGCCGTGTGAGGACTCCCAACCCAGTGCTCACAGAAGAGCTGCGTAGTCCCTGGCTGGCAGTCAGGTCTGTGAGTGGAATGGCTGAGAACTGCACCTGTTCTTGAGGCCCCCGCCCCCACCAGCCTCCAGGCAAGCACCCCTGCTGGCCGGTGTGGCAGCGGAGACCCAGGGCTGAGCTTTCTCCAGCCTCGTGAATGCCATTCCTCACCCCCTTCCCACCCACCCTCATGGGACTCAGGAAAGGGGGAGAACAGGTTCTCGGAACTGGGGGCCCTACCCAGAAGTCCCTCCCTGCCTCCAGTGCCACCACACAGGCTTACTCAGCCATCTGTCCCAAAGCTTCCTCAAGACACCTGGCGCTCTTGTTCTGAAGGTGAACATTTATTAGCACACCCGGGCGTGCCTAGGGATCCCTGCCCAGGGGGCTCACAATCTAAACAAGACACGACACACACACAGGACACAGACACGGGGAGCGGGGCGTCTTCACGGGAAACAGATGGTCAGGGAAGCCACGAGCGGGGGCATCGGCGTGCTCAAGCCTTGTCTTTCTGGTTGTCTTTGCGGGGGAGGGAGAGGAGCGCAGGACGTAACCCAGGATGGCCTTCCAGAAAGTAGCAGTATCTGGGGGGGACTCACAGGAGAAAGAAAACACCAGAGGGTGGTGGTCCCAGGTACAGGGAGAGGTGGGGGAGCATCTCAGATCAGGCGTGGATGAAGACAGACCCAGAGAAGTAAAAACAGAGGAAGGCAAAAAGTCCAGGGAAGGGCCCGAGCCAGCAGCAAGAGACTGCCACCTGTGCTGGGCCTGGGCTGTCTCTGACTTCAGGCTCCGTTTTCCAGGGCTGCTCTCACAGAGAAAGCCTGAACAGAAGCTCTGGCCAAGGGCGCCCCTGAGGCTACTTACCTGACCCCAGGGCTTCCTCCAATCTCTGGAACAGAGATCAGAAGGGATATCTAAACCAGGTTGCGGGAAACGAGAGACAGACAGCTTTGGGTGGGGTACTTAGTGCAGTTCCAGGAGGCAGCTGCTGGCCCCAGGTGCTGGGAGCAGGGGGCGGATCGGATGGCCCGCTTCACTCCTGGCAGGGCCAGGGGCCAGCAGGTGGACACATGACAACAGGGATGTGCTCGTTCCTTTTGTGCCTGTGTCTGAAACAGATGTAGCACCTTCCTTCTGAAGTACCCTGAGAGCTGCGGGGGCTCAGCTTCCCCTGGGCTGGGTGGGGAAGAAAGGGCAGGGGATGGGGATGGTTATTGCTTTGTCGTGGTCAGAAGAAACAGGTGGAAGGAAGAAAAGAGCTTGCCCAGGGCCACAGAGGCTGGAGAAGGGATTACAACCCAGCTTCCCACACCTCAGGCTGGAACCTGTTCTACTGAGTAGAAAAGACTTTTCTAATCCTAAAGAACGAAAGTAGAAGAGGGCTGAGAGAAGCCACAGTTCCAGCCAACAGACACAGAGCTCCTTATCTTTCCCTTTCCCACCTCAGGGACCAGGAAGGAGGCGCTGGCCTGAAACTACAGTGGCCCCGTGGGTGGTGGTGGGAAAACTGGAGCATCCCCCTTTGGTTTGTCTGAGCTGCCTTGAAGCGTGGTGAGGGTCCTCTGGGAACTGAGGGAGGGGACGTCAGGCTGGGTGACCCTGGAGGGCACCTCTGAGGCCTAGAGGACTCTACTCCCAAAAAGCTTTGCGTCAGGCCTGATCTGGGAGATGTAGCTGCCTCTCTGCTTTCTGGGAAGCCGGTGGGATCATATTCTATAGAGATCTGAGGATGGGCTGGACGCTCAGGAAGGGCCTGGTCACCAGTGAAGTCAAATCCCAAAGGTGACACACTGAGGGGGAGGCTCAGCCCCGGGGCCCCCATCCCCTTCACCCCACTGCCTCTGCCCCTGGGGAGGTGAGGGAGGGCTGGGACCCAAGGAGGAAACAGCCAAGGCCCTACTTTTTCACGATCCTTTATTAATCAGAACAGGCCTTGCCACAAAAAGCAGGACCCATTCCCACAAAAATATGATTTTGCAAAGAGGAAATCTTGCTGGCTTAGAGGGTATGTGTGGTGGAAAAATTTTGTATGGTTCTTTTTTCCTGTTTTTTTTTTTTTTTTTTCTTCAGTTTTTCTTCATTTCTCTTCGCTGCAAAATTTTTTTTTTTTTGGTGATGGTGGGTTTTTGTTTTATTTTTTATAAAACATTTGCGCTCAAGGACATACAAACAGTGGCCACCGATCCCCACCCCTGGGGGACTCAGGTGAGGCCCCTGGCTTGTTTGTGGCTGTTTTCCTCTGTCCCTTCCCTGGCATCTGGTGCCGGAGGGCAGGTGTGGGGGTCCTGGGGCAGGTGGAATTTATACAGCAGTTTCGTGGGGAGATGGCCACAAGAAAGGAAACCAGGACAAGATAAGGACTAAGTCTAGGGCACCCACAAAGATGGCAGATGAGGCCTATGAAGGGGCCTGCAACACAGTGAAGAGACAGATGGGCCTGGGTTGGCCTCGGCTAGCTCTGGAGGCTCTGTGGGGGAGGGGCAGGTGGGCCTTGCTGTCAGGATTCGCTAATTACACTTTGCTCACGGGTAGCACCTTCTCTCTTGAGTCCTCCTGCCTTGACCCTCAGGTCAGGTGATGGTGGCCTCACAACCTCCCCTGTGAGGTAGGTGAAGTATTATTACCATCATATTACAGATGGGGAAACTGAGGCCCAGGGAGTGCGGGTGACTTGCCCAAAGTCCTGGGATGGTGACAGGGCTCCAAGTGCCCTCCCCCCACCCTCAAGTTCCCCCATTCCCTGCTCTCCTATCACCCTAGACCACCCCTGCCCCATCCCATACCACCCTTGCCTCCCGTGCTAGCCTACTCAGCCCTTGGCCCACCGCTTGCCGCCCCGACATAGCATCCCAGAGCTCCACCTGCACGTGGGGGTGCTGGGGAAGCCCAAGCCTGGTAGCCAATGTGCCTGGATGGGGTCTGGTTGGGAAAAGACCCCTGCCAGGAGATGCTCTCTGCATAGGATTGGCTAAGAGCTCCATGGGCGGGGCTCGGGAAAAGGTGGAGCCATTGCCCCGCCCACTCGATACAAGTTGGTTGGATTCCCAGGGGGCTCCCTAGCAGGCGAAGGGGCCTGGGAGGCGGGGGCTCGCTCACTGGGCAGTCTTCCGCGGGGCAGGCGGGTGGTGGTGGGGGGACAGGAAACCGAGGCGGATCCAAGGGAGGGGTGGAGAAGAGCAGATCCCCTCCTCCACTCAAAACTTCCCACCACGCCCTCTCCCACATCCACGTGGCCTCGGGGTCGCTGCCCTCCCGTCCCTGCTGGGCGCCGCTCCCCAGCCCGCCAAAGAGGAGGGTGCAGTTGGGGCCGACCCCATTTTAAGCAAAGCTACAATATAGAAACATTTGGATTTACAAGGAACGTGGGTGACTATTTGCTTTACATTAGCATTCTTCACTCTACAAAACGATTCACCTACTATGTATGATGTTCTTCCAGATCCCAGGGAGAGGAAATGGTGGGGGTGTGAGATTCAATTTAAGAAAATTTCGCTATGGGCAAAAGGCGACCCGTCTACACTGCAGCAAGCAGAATGCTCAGCTCAAGGGGAAGCCGACCGAAGGAAAATGGTTCCCAAATGCCTATGCTCTCCCCACGCCCTGGATGTGGGGACCCTATCCAGAGTCCCCTTCTTCTCTTTGGGGTGTCACAGGCCCATCCAGGGTGGAACTGTGGGCTGACCAAGCCACAGACTGTGGGGGCTTGGCGCCACCTGGCGGTGGTTCTTGGAATGTCAGGCCCAGGCTCATGGACCCCCAGGTTTGGAGGCTTTGTCACCAGCTGGGTCTTTTATCAATACCAGGACCAGCGTGGGGATGAGAGGGCTTAAGCAAGGATCAGCCTGAAATCTGCCATCTCCAGGGGGAAGCCAGTTCTAGTCTCATCAGTGGCTGAGGCAGAGAAACCACGGCTTCTTTGTGTGTGGCAACCTCAGAACTCTCAGAACCTTCGTCTTCTCCCTGCCTCCTTTCCCTGCACTGTGAGTGAGCCAGGCAGAAGGAGCTGCTCCCGGGGACCAGGGAGTGGGGAGGGTGGGAAGACAGTCCTGGAGAAGATCAGGTAATGGAAGATCAGAGACCACGCACGATGAGAGGGAATGAATGGAAGGCCTACAAGCATCGGGGGATGGAGAGGTGAGGAAAGAAGGGTGGGGGTCTGCACAGGCAGGGAGAGACGAGGAAGGGCAGGGAAGCTGGAAAGCATGGAGAATAGGGCAGATGTGGCTGCGTATGAGGTGTGGGAAGCTGGCGGGGGGTCTTTTGATGAAGGAGTTAGGGCAAAGCTAGTCAGGGCTCAGGACCCCTTGAGAAGGAAGGGAGATGAGTCCTGGTGGAATGCTATGCACACAGTAGGTGCCTAAAAGGTGTGATGATCTCTTCCATCAAGAGATGGAATTGCTGAAAAAGGAGCTATTTCAGATTCTGAGCAGAAGGGGGCACCAAGGGGAGAAGGGGAGGAGATGGGGGGATGGCAGGAGGCAGCCCGGCTCTCAGCCCAGCTCCAGCATCTGCCGCTCTTCTGTTCCTGACCGCTGCCTCACCCTACCCCACTCAGCCCTACGGGCCTCTCCTCTCACACTCCTGGCCTCCAACCCTGCCTGGCATTCACGAAACCTGCTTTCTCCGCATAGTCCTCCGCACTTCCAGGCCTCTGTCCCCACGCACACACACAATGGACACAACACAAGTACAAAGGGCCGCGGCTCCAGGACCCAGGAGCGGGCTAGATACTGTCTTCGGCATTCAGGGCCCAGCCGGCACCTGAAACTGCCCTGGGGACGGGCCTCTCCTGGCCAGACTGGGGCCAAACGCCTCAGCCTCCCCTCCCCTGGGTCCACCTCGGGGGCTGGACAGGGAGTGGCCTCTCTCCACTCCAGGTGCTGCCTTAAAGAAAACGGGGGACCATGCCCACCTGGCGGGCCTCTGGAGGGGTCTGCCTGTCTGGCCGTCTGGCTCTCGAGGTCCCCCAACTTCTTTAGTATTAGTAAGTCAGGAAGAAAAGGGGCAAAGCAGGAAAATGCCTCCCAGAGCCCCTTCCCCCAAGCTGGACCGTGGGGGACGGGGCTGGTACTTCCTAGACACGGGGCCCAGTTGAGTCCTGGGACCCCTCCCTGGCTGAGCCCTCAGGGTCCTCCCCTCCCTATGGCAGGGGGCTCAGGCCGGGCGTTGTGCATAAAGTGGTGAGGGCATGATGGGGACCCGGGCCCTCGGCCCCCTGGGCCTCCCTTGGCCCCACTCAGGCCTTCAGCTGGTGCCACTGGGCCACGGGCTGCCGGGGACGGGCAATCATGTCCTTCCAGTGCTTCACCTCCCCTGGCCCGCTCTTCCAGGACAGGTAGATCTGGGGAGAAAGGGGAGAGGATGGCATTGGCACAGGCTCCAGGGCACTGGCCCTTTCCCCCACAGGGGTGACACCCCAACTCCACCATGATACCCTAGCCTGTGGCCCCCCAACCTCCACATGCTGTGACAACCTACTCCACAGAGGCGCCCTCCTCCTTCCCCGGCCAGCCTGATCTATTTTCCTGGTTGTCTACCCCCACACCTCCAAGTCTGGGCACGCCTGGCCTCTTGGAATTAGACTGCCAACCTACTTTGCAGTGGGGTCTGGAAGGTGGGGGTGGAAGCAGATCGTCTCCACGGCCTTCCCTGCCCTATCTGTTGGGTGCTGTCCAGCCCCCGTTAATTATAATTGTTCCCAGCTCCTGGGCACTCGCTGCATGTGAGTACTGAGCTAGGGACTTATACACACAGATCATCCAATCCTACAACTGCCAGGTAGGGTTATACGATCATCTCCATTTTTCAGATGGGGAAACTAAGGTACAAAGAGGTAAGAGACTTACCCACAGTCACAGTGTTTATAAGTGGTGCAGAGGGACTGAAATCCAGGTCTTTGGAGCTCTACGCTACCGGCCTAATCCTGCTTCACAGCCTCACGGGGCTGCATGCATGAATCCCCCCGGAACCCCCAGGATGGGCCCCGCTGACCTCAGCTTTGGGACTTGGGGGCGATTAAGAGTATGAGCACTGCCCCCATTGCAACCTCAGCCCAGCATGATGCCTACAGCCTTGGGTGGTGCCAGGCAGACAAGGGGCAGGCTCTTGGTTTCCAGGGGCTGAGCAGGAGCCGGGAGTCAGAAGGACTCAGAGATCCTTGGGCTCCATAAGTTACCCAGGCCAAAGTGAGAACAAATCCACGTTCGCTTTGGTTCGGCCAACAGAAGGTAGGACTGTTTCAAAAGGAGCCCTAATCGGTATCTAAGGGACACCCAACTCCAAAAGGCTAAGCTTCAAAAGAACATCAAAGTAGATATGGTCACTTGGCCTGTGGGCTGAGCTGGTTGAGGGGGCATCGGCGGGACCTGAACCCTGGCCAGGCAGGGGCGCATACTCTCTCTGGAGTATGAGTGGCAATGTCCTGGGGAGTTGTCCCACCTGTGACCACAGATTGGCCAGTCATACTCCCCGTGCCATACCCCTCTTTCAGGCCAGACTGCCTCCTTTACCCCAGCAGGTGAGTTCTCCATTCCCATCTGTCTGAGGGTTACCTCCAACTCAGCTCCCTTCCCTGTGGGTATCCAGTCCCCCTTTCCCTTTCCCCTACACAGGGTAATGCCCAGGTGTGTGCCCCTCACTCACTCCTGGCATCTCCCCTTCTCCCATGACTGCCCTGAGCACTGGTTCCGCACATGGTCCTGGTCAAACCGCCCTGCCTGAATGGATATACATGCCCCTTTATTATCATACTAGCTAACATGCGTTCCAAGTCCTACGCTGTTTAGTGAGCTGTTTAGCTCACCTGTGCGATCTTACTTAATCCTCCCAGCGCATTGTGAGGGTAGGACCGTCCTACTCTCGTTTTGAGAGGAGAAAATGAGGCTCAGAGAGGTTACAGCCTTAAAAAGTAAGGCTAGGATTTGGACCAAGGCTATCTGACTCTCAAGCCCATTCTCTCAACGCTAAACCGTAAATAAACACAGAAAGAGACATTTGAAGGTAGAAACATGGAAGGGCTTACGTCACAGGATCCCATCCTGGGAAAACTCAAGGTCAGGTATGAATTTTTTGGTTATGTGATATGAAGAGATCACTTTTGTTTTTTTTTTCCAGGCAGAGTTTTGCTCTGTTGCCCAGGCTAGAGTACAGTCTTGCAATCTTGGCTCACTGTAACCTCTGCAGTTCAAGGGATTCTCCTATCACAGCCTCCTGAGTAGCTGGGATTACAGGCACCCGCCACCATGCCCAGCTAATTTTTGTATTTCTAGTAGAGATGGGGTTTCACCATGTTGGTCAGGCTGGGCTCGAACTCCCGACCTCAGGTGATCCACCCGCCTCGGCCTCCCAAAGTGCTGGGATTACAGGCGTGAGCCACTGTGCCCGGCCAACTTTCTACGAGAAGAACATCCACATGCCTCAAGCAATTCTTACACCACCCTGTAAAGTTCTACAGGGACAGTACTAGTTGCTCCATTTTACAGATGAGAACACTAAAGCTTGGAGGGGCCAAGCCACTGGCCCAAGGTTATACAGTTTATCTGAAGATGGGATGGGAACTGAAATGAGGTCTTTGGAGTCTGATCGCAGCTCCCAACGCTGCCCCACGCAGCTCACCCTGTGTAGACAGGACCCCGGGCAATACTGCCCCAATGTCATCATCCTGTCCAGAAAACCTTTCTTTTGAGATCCAGGCCATTCCTCTCTTGCACTACTTCTTTCCCTGCCCGCTGGTGGTCTGTCCTAAGCTGACCTACCCATAGGAGGACGCTTAGAGAGGAATCCTTGCGAGGGGGTCATCTCACACCCTTATTTTCAGATGAAGAAACAGAGGCCTGAGAGGAGAGGAGACTGATTCCAGTCTCTCCTGGTGTCCAGCCTGTGCCCACTACCCCCGCTGCTTCTTTTAAGGAACGGAGCCTCGCTGGTACCAGCTGCGTGCACCACACCACCTGCCTCGCCCCTACCTTGCCGATGACGTCATTGCGGCTGAGCCTGTCCTTGTCCATGACGGTGATAATGATGGTCGTCTCCCTCAGCTTCTCCGTGGGGATATCGAAGGCGAAGGACTCATTGAAGATGGGGTTCAGGTTCCTCTTCATCGTCACCGTCTTCTTCTTCTCCACCCGCTTGTCCTTGTACATCAGCCACACCTTCACGTAGGGGTCTGGGGGAGGGAGTGGGGAAGGGTTAGAGGGACCGTGGGGGAGGGACTTCCTAGGATCCCTTTCCCCTTCCAGGAATGGAAGCTGAGGCAGGAGGGCCGTGTGCTTTCCCCAGAGGCAAGGAGAGACCCAGGCAAGAACAAGAGGGACCTGGGAGAATCAGCAGATGGACCTTAGCGATCACCTGGGCCCTCCTGTTACTACCAACGAGGAAACTGAGCCCCAGAGAGGCCAGGTCTTGTCCAAAATCTCAGACAAGTAGCATCAGAGCTGGGGATAGAACCCAGGTCTTCCCACAATGTTCCCTTTCTTCCTGATTCTGGGAAGAACAGAGTCCAGGATGATGCTGACATCTTGACTCTTGAACAGAGTCCAAGATGAGGGTGCTCCAAAGGGGGCCCCTAAGGCCTCTAGGGTAAGGAGTGAGGACTGGAGGTGGGGGTGTGGCGGGTTGGGGTGAGGACCGCTGCAGACCCTGCTCTCCACATCCAGTGTAACCCTTGTGTCACTAGCACATCCCCGGCCCGCCCGTCCTCTGCTGGAGGAGCCCCGCACCTGATGTGCCCCCGATGTCCATGGCTTTGAGGTTCCGGGCTTTGATGATGTTCACGATGATGGAGTTGGCAGAGGGGTTGTAGCAGAGAGACAAGAGCAGCTCCCCTCGGCTCCCCTGGGAGGCACAACAGGAGGGGTGTGGGGAACTAGGCTAGCAGAGCTCTCTGATTGGTCCAGCTGCCCCCAGGCCCCCTCTACCCTGACCTTGGCGCTTACCCATGCCCCTGTCTGTCACCTCTGTCTCACTCTGTCTCCCCTCCTCTGGCAGGTGTGTGTACTGCCCCTCCCAGGTCCACCATCTCCTCTCTGTTCCCTGAACACAGCCCTAGGTTCCTTCTTACAGATCGGGTGAGTCCCCCCCAAGTGCCAAGCACCAGTGCTCTGACTACTAGTGAGGACTGAGCTCTATCGGGCCTGCCCATCTGCACCCTCTCCCACAGCCCTCCTGGCCTTTCTAAGGTTGACGAGGGTCTGGGACCAGATCTCCCAGCCCTGCCCTGCTGCCTGTCCAGTTAAGGCCCACCCATGGGGCCTTACACTCCCATCGCTGCATGGCTTCAGATCCTTCCAGAAGGTCTGCATCTGGGTCAGGTCCACCTTGTTAAGGGGGATGGACACCTCCCCGATGGGGTCGTTGCGGCTGAAGCGGTCGTAGTCCAGCACTTGGAGGTAGAGGATCCTCTGCACCACCTTCTCATAGGGAAAACCTGGGGGTATAGATGGGTGCGAGTGAAGAGGGGCACAGAGGGGCCACATGGGGCCCGGGAGGCAAGGAAGGCCCTGGGAAGAGGAGGCAGGCCCTGTGCCCTCCCGCTGCCACCCCACCGGGCCAGCAGGCACACTGGATTGCAATTAGACCTTACTGAAGTGCTAGCAAGAACTGTCACCGTCTCATGGGATTCCCTCAACAATTCTCCAAGGTGAATGGCATCTCGTCCATCTTACAGATGAGGCTCAGACGGCTTAAAGTACTTGCCCAGAGTCCCAGCTAGTAAAGAGTAGAACTGCGATCATCCATTCACCCATGCACCTTGTGTCCATCTCAGTGGCTGAGCAGCCGCTGCCAATCGTCCCGAGGCAGGTCTGGGCAAGTGGCTCTGCCTAGGTGGCCACAGCTGCCAGTACGCAGGCCCCAGGAGGACTCAGGGCAGAGGGACATGGGGAAGCATCAGTGGGAGGGAAAAGGCAAAGGCATAGAAGCAGGAGGTGACAAGTGTCCTGTGACTCGGCACCCCTCCTCCCACCTGTGCTTCTGTCCTTCTTCCCACAGCGTCCCCTTCTCTACTGCCACCTCCCTCATCCAAGCCGCCGGCACCTCTTGCCTAGGCAGCTGCAAGCATCTCCAAACCGCCCTCCCCGCATCCACACTTTCTCCTACCGTCCATTCTCAACGCGGCAGCCAGAGAGATCTTTTAAAAATAGAAATTCCATCATGATGTGCTCTTGCTTAAAGCCTTTCAATGGTTCCCAGTGCACTTAGAATAAAAGCCGGGCACCCTACCTTGGCTTCAAGTCCTTCCACAATTTGGCCCGGCTGTCCTCTCCCTGCTTGGCTTGTGACCGCTCTTCACTCAATGACTGGGCTCCAGCCACATCGGCCTCCTTCCTGGCCCTTCAACACCCTACTCCTCCCGCCTCGGGGCCGGGCGCACACTGGCCCCACCATGCGCCCCTCTTCTGGCTACTCTCATCCTTCAAGCCTCAGTATTCCTTCCTGGCACCCCAGACAGTGTTGGATCCCGTTATACACTCTAGCACCTTTTCTTCCGCGAAACATATCACACACGGTAATAGATTTCTCTGTCTCTTTCCCTGATTTTTGTCTGGCTTTCCCGGAAGGCAAGGATTCCCAGAAAGGCCTCTCTGTTACCAACCACTGGATCTCGGTGTCTAACACCGTTTCTGGCACATAGTAGGCACTCGATACATATTTGTTAAGTGAATGCATAATTGAACAGATGAATCAATGCCAATGAAATGGCCTAATGGAGCAGCAGGACTGTGCTGAGGTGAAGTGGCAGCTAAGGTCAGAGGGAGAGGAGCAGACGGGGCTTGCATGGGATGGAGAAGGGAAGAGGGGGCCAGGTGAAGGTCTGAAGCCAGGAGTCATGAGCTCTTGGGAGGCTTAGTCAGAGGTGGGGCTGGCCCAGGAGGTGCAGGGGGCACAGGCCAGCCCGGAGGTCTGAGGTGAGGAGATTCTGAACCCGGGTGTGAGCAGGACGGAGGACGCCCTGGAACCTAAGCCTGGCTGGTGCAGAAGATGAAGGGAAGGAGGAGCCCTGGAGGATTCCAGCACCTTCCCCCAGAGACTCTGGAAGCACCGAGGAGCTCCGACAGGAGCAGGTGAGTGGGAAAAGGAGACGCTCTGAATTTGTTCAGGGTCCTTTTCCTCATATTGTGGGAAGCTGTGTCCTGCTTATTTCAGAGTCCCCCACGGACCTTGCCCAGGCATCAATTCAGGTAAAATGCACGAGGACAAGTGTTCTGGGAATATTGGAAGCTCCAAGAAGTCGCTGCACCCCAGTCAGCTCTCATCAACACCAGAGGAGGCAGGCTCCTAGCTGGCAAATTCCTACTCATCCATCAGAACCCATTTTGAATGGTCCCTCTTCTGGGAAATTTTCTTCAGCACCATCAAAGGGAGCTCATACTGGCTTCCTGCAGCTCCTGCCATGCTGCGTGTGGCTGGCTTATCTACACATCTGTGTCTCCGTTAGGCCAGAAATGCCTTGAGGGCCATAACGGTGCCTCATTCTTTTCTACACCCCCGAAACCTAGAAGAGTGCCCAGCTCGTGGTTGTTGCTGGGCACGTGCTCGTGGAAGAGACTGGAGGATTGGAGTTCTGCTCAAAACCTTCGCCCTGCCAGCTGGCTACCTATACCTCCAGACAGCCGAACCTCTCGCTGGTTGAGCCGTCTCTAACCTGGCCCTCATGGTGCCTACAGAGGGCATCCAGAAGCACACGGACACTCGCTGCTCACCCTCAGTGCCATTTAGTGGGTGACCTGGCTGTCACCTTGCAGAAGAGGTGGGGTGCTAAGTGGGTGGGACGGCAGGTGGGGAAAGGTCCCTGGGATACATGGTGAAGATGCTGGAAGGCTAGGGCTTGGGGCAGCTGGAGTAGGGATCTACTCCCCCTGGATGAATGGGGAGCCATTGGCAAAGGGTTACAGCTTCTCTAAGCGGGGTCCTAGCACCCAAAGGCCCTGGGATAGAAATCACTGCTTAATCGCATGCCCAGCTTCCTGGTTACCTTGAATCCTCAGAGATAAGAGATAAAGACCGGCCTTCAGAGGGGGCTTGCAGGAGAGAGAAAGGACATTTGTCTCCGCGGCCTCCAGGCATGGTTCAGAGCTGTTGTTCCTGTCCCATGCGAGGGAGGGGGGGCAGAGAACGGCAACAGATGGCGTGTGTTTAACAACCTGGTATCAAGCATTTGCTGGGTGTCAGGCACTGTTCTAAGTGCTTTTACAATTCACTTATTTGTTGAACCCTCACTATTATTATCTCTATTTTGTAGATGAGGAAACCAAATCATAGGGAGGCTCAGGAACTTGCCCAAGGTCACGCAGCGAGTAAGTGGCAAGAGCTGAGATTCAAACCCAGACAGCCTAGGCCACAGCCTGTGCACTGAACCACTATGCTCTGGTGGCTCCAGGGTGCTCCAGCTCTGAGTCCTGTGGGTGCCTCCCTCCCTCCCTGCCCTCCTCAGGATGAGCTCTGTGTCTGGAATGAAACACCAGGCGGTGGCCCAGCTTCCCTCCTCGGCCTCTGGCTGTGATGCTGGCTCCACTTGGCTCCTGTGACCTGATCCCAACTAGACACAAAATGCATCAGGTTAACCGGGCCAAGTCATTGCCTGTGTGGGCGTTTGTGAGCGCATGTGTATGGATCTGTGCCTGTGCACGCATGCAGGTGTGCACATAAGTGTATCTGATTGCATGTGTTTGTGCATTTGTGGGCCTGCAGGTGTGTGCCCATATGCATCTGTCCATGTGACCACATGTGTGGTTGGGTAGGGGGATGGTGGACGGCAAGAGGTGATCATGGCGGGGGAAGGGTGGCACTAGCCTCACCTTCAAAGAGGAAGGTCTCGTTCCAGTGGGGGTTCAGGTTCTTCCGCTTCACCTTGGTCTCCAGCTTGTGCTTCTTGTCAGGCAGCAGGTAGATCTTGACGAAGGGGTCACTGGTGCCGCTGAAGTCCTTGGCCGGCAGCTCTTGGGCCTTCATGATCTTCACGGTGAGCGTGGACTCCTGGAAGTTGTAGCCGACGCTGAACTGGATCCGGCCCAGGTTCTCTCGGCTGCAGCCCTCGTGGGCCTCATCCTCCTCGGAGCCTGGGGAGAGCTGGGGGTAGGGGAGAGGCCGGCAGGGTTGGGGGGGATTCTGCTCCCCCCATGTCCCCACCGCTGGCCAGCACGGGTAAGAGGCCAAAGGTGGTGGCCCAGCCACATCCCATGGACACTGCTCAGGCTCAGAGGGCAGGTGCCTTGACTGGGGTCTCCCAGGAGGGGAGGGGAAGGGGGGATGGCAGAGCCTAGACAGCTCTGTCTCCTGAACCTCAAAGCCGTATGCACGACACCCACCTCCCAGGCTCTCCTCGCAGCCCTGGGTCTGCCGCCGGCCCCAAGCTCCAGTTCCGCTGCCTCACCTTCCTGGTTGTAGCTGCCCTGGTGCGTGCTGGGGTTCCCGAGCCCCCCAGACCTCCCTGCCCTCTCGTGGCACGGTAGGGCCAACTGTGGGATGCACTGACACAAACCTGGACTACACAGCAGATGAGGGAGGCTGCTCACATCAAAAAGAGTGTACCGCAACAATTCTTTGCAAAGTGACTCTCTAGGGTGCGGAGAATGATGTGATTTACAAAATGAGAGAGGTAAGTTTTCAGGAGCGATGTCTGTTTGTGTTAGATAAAATCACCAGGGACAAGAAAATTGCAGACCTCCCAGGCCCTGTCCCCAAGCACTTTGACTGGATGGGGCTGGTGTGGGCCTGGGCATCAGTGCTGGGTAAAAGGCGCCTCAGATGATTGTACTGTCCATAGGGGCTAAGGAGTGCTGGGAGGGAGGGTGCTTGGGCTGACCCAGGAACGGACAGTCACACAGAGGCAGGGTGGGCATCTCGTCCCATCCTGACATCCAACCACAGGAAGCAGCCGGGAGGAGGGTCTCCCAGCCACGTGTCTGAACCTGTGAGCACACTGGTAGTACCTAGGAGGTTTTGGAACCCTGCCCACCCTCCAGCCGCCTGAGTGCAGCCCCAGACCACTGATCACAGCAGACCCAGTTAGGGGGCTGCATGGCTCAGGTACCCCTGGCTCGAAAGTCTCCCACGATGACTGGATGAGAGACAGGAGCAGGACCCTGGGTACCACAGTAAGAAAAACTGCAGGCATCCGTTCCTTCCCCCCGCCTCCCCCGTAGAAACCTGCTCTGTGCCCTCTCCTTCATCCTCGAGAGGCAGTCCTAGGCTCTGAGAGACTAAATAATGCAGATAATAATAATGTATCCAGTGCACTCTTGCCATGACCAGCGACTCTCCCATCGCCGTCTCCTTACTGAATCCTGATAATAGCCAGGCGAGGCAGGTGGCACCACCCTTGCTGAGGAGACTGGTTCAGAGAGGTTAAGTCACATGGCCAAGACTGCACAGCAGTATGAATCCCCTCTGACTCAACATCCTGCTCTTTCCACTGAAGCAGGCCCACACCCCAGCACAACACTGAGGGTTCCCCTCAAGCTGGCAAAGACCTGCGGACTCACCGTGCCAGGTGAAAACCGTCGGAATCACACTCGTGAGAGTTTTTTGTTTTTGTTTTTTTTTGAGACAAGGTCTCGCTCTGTTGCCAAGGCTGGAGTGCAGTGGTGCAATCCCGGCTCACTGCCACCTCCACCTCCCAAGGTCAAGCGATTTTCGTGCCTCAGCCTCCCGAGTAGCTGGGACCACAGGCGCACACCACTACGCCTGGCTAATTTTTGTCCTTTTAGTAGAGGCAGGGTTTCACCATGTTGCTCAGGCTAGTCTCTAACTCCTGGCTACGAGTGATCTGCCCGCCTTGGCTTCCCAAAGTGCTGGGATTACAGGCATGAGCCATGCATCCAGCCTCACACTCACAACAGCAACTACCACGAACTGGCTGGCCGCCTGTAACCTGTGCCTTGTCCTCACTGACCTCTTACAACATCCCAACGAGGCAGGCACTCCCGCTGGAACACTTTCCCGGTGTTCCAACTGTGGCTGCCAGCACAGAGAGGTTGGGTCACTTGCCTCAAGTCGCCTGTGATTGAATGGCCAGTGGGAACGCAACCCAGTTGAGCGGCCAGGAATCCTGAGTCCCTTCCACCTGCGCCTTGCTCTTGCACTCAGATGTAGAGTCTGGGGCTTTACCCCGGTCCTGCCTAGTTGGGGGCACCGCGTTGCCTTACAGCAGAAGATGTTCCCTCCAGCCCCCACCCCTTGGCCGATCCAAATAACCCCTCAAGCCCCACTGCAGGCCCATGGAGAATGTGGTTTCCCTGTCCACAGTCTGCTTTTCCCCAATGCTCTTTTCTCTGCTTATGCCAGCCCCACACGCACGCTTTGACCCTGTTTTTACATCTGCAGAGTAGGGACCATGAGACCTACTTTGAGGGGTCCTGGGAGAGCTAGAAGGGGTCCCTTCTAGAGTTCTGCCCCGTGACCTGACCCACTGGCAGAGGGACCGAGCACCTGGGGCATAGCATGTGTAGACAGTGCCAGCAAAGACCACTCGCCCACCCCCTGCTTCTAAAGTTGGGGTGGAGTTGCTGATGACCGGAGCCCAGGTGGCCCCCATCCCACCTGAGGTCCCTCTGGTCCCTTGGCTCTTGGCTCCCAAACAGTGTGGTCTTGGGAAGGCCTGGGCTGGCTAGGTGGGTTTCACCTCGGAAAGGGGTGGCAGCTCTGTGCCCACTCCCAGCCTTCTTAAGCCACAGCCCTGAGCCCTAATTACTCAGCTGGGGCAGAGCCATCTCTTTGGCAACCAGGTTGGCCACCCCATCACAATCAGGGAAGGTGCTTCCCGAGCCCTTGCAGAAGTCAGCCTCGAAAAGCAGCAAGCCACCCCTGTACCACGGCAGCAGGTGCCCAGAAGCACGTGTGGCCTCGCCTCTTCTCAGACACCTCTGCCCCTCAGCCCCTTCTCTGGCCAGCTCTGGGTGCTTAACTCTTGTCTCTTGACCCCCAGATTCCACAGCCCAGGGTCTGGAGACTGGGACAGGCTGAGGTCACAGTGGGCTGATTCTGCCCTGCTTATCTTATCATGGCTGTTAACGTCAACGGCCTAGCACTGGCACAGAGCTGTGCCATCAGACTCTGCCCTCCCACCTCTGAGCATCTTCCCAGCACAGGAGAGGGAGATGGGGCCTGCGCTTCCTTCTGCAGGCTGTAGCTGTTGGCCCCTCCCTGGGGGCAGCAAGGGGCAGGCAAGCTGGCTGTGAAGGGGCCGTCCCTTCTGGGAACCTGGCTACCGGGAAGCTGTAACCAATTAAGGGGCTGTGCAGGGAGGCAGGGTGGGCTGTGGTAATGGCCCATCCAGAGGAGAGGACAGCCAGGGTCAGTCTGCCTGGGTGGGGGAAGATGGAAGGAGGGCAGTGGAGGGCCAGACACACAGGGGCCTGGCGGGCGGGGAGAAGGGGAGAGGTGGGGAGGCCCAAGGCGACCAGACCTAGGATGTGGAAAATCTGATGCTCTAATGTGGATTCAAGAAAACCACAGGATAGGCCGGGCGCGGTGGCTCATGCCTGCAATCACAGCACTTTGGGAGGCCAAGGCAGGTGGATCATTTGAGGCTAAGAGTTTGAGATCGGCCTGGCCAACATGGTGAAACCCCATCTCTACTAAAAATAGAAAAATTAGCCGGCGTGGTGGTGCACTACTGTAATCCCAGCTACTCGGGAGGCTGAGGGAGGAGAATCACTTGAGCTTGGGAGGCAGATGTTGCAGTGAGTTGAGATTGTGCCACTGAACTCCAGCCTAGGGGATAGATGAGATTCTGTCTCAAAAAAATAAAAAATAAAAAATAAGGAAAAAAGCAGACTCTTAGGCCCCACCAAAGGCCCACTGACCAGGAATCTGCATTTTAACAAGGTTCCTGGGTGATTCCTGCACACGTAGCAATTTGAGAAACGCCAGGCTAGAAGGGGCAGTGGGGATGGACGGTTAGAGCTGGCTGGAACTCTACATGGCAGAAGGGTGGGGGCTCTGGTGCCAGGGCAGTGGGGGAGGGGTTGGGAGCTCCCAAGCCTACTTCCTTCTCTCTAGAGAAGTGAGGGGTTCAATCCAAGGAGATGAAGCGTCCCAGGTCAAGTCCAGTAGGAACAGAGCAGGGGCTGGATTCCCAACTTCGTCCCCTCTTCAAGCCTTCCTGGGACTTCCGACCTTTAACTGATCTCTGTCTGTCAATCTCCCCAGTTTTCTCCCTCCAGGACCTCTTTGGAAAAGTACAGGTGGGGCAAGTGGCTGTGACTCACTGCTGCCCCCGTGGGGGCACCATGGGAACCACAACCTCTGTCTGGGCCAAGCAACCTAGAACTAGGATCCCACAGGGTTGGAGGCCTCTGTGGTGGGGCACGGGTGTGGACAGCAGCACCCCATCACAGCTGTCCCTCAGAGGAGCCGGGACCAGTGGATTCCTGCTCTCCTGTTCTCAGGGGCCTCTAGCCATGGGAATGGGGGAGGTCGCAGGCTAGGCCTTCCACCCCAGACCTCCACTTAAGGGGACATCACTCTCGGGAGGGGACACCTTCTGTCCTGAGTCCTCTGCCCACCAGCCTTTCCCTCTAGGATCCTGCAAGTATCTTGCATGAGTGGGTTTTCTTTGGTGCCTTCTCAATCCACAAAGGGATCAAAGCAGGATGGGAATTCTTATTTTCACTTGTCAAAGGAAGAAACTGAGACATGGAGAAGATATTTTGATGAAAGAGCTGGGAAGCAAACCCCGGCCTTGCACACTCAGTCACCAAGCGCCGAGTGGCCACCATGCTGGGCCTGGCTCTCCAGGCTGCTTCTGACCCGGTTCCCCTGCCTGGCCACTCCCATGCCGTTGCTGGTTCCCACACACGTCCCTCTTCTTCCTGCCCCTAGCCTCCCAGCCCAGTTCCTCGGAGCAGCACAGGCTCCCTCATTCTCACCATGAGCATCTCGCTGGTGAGGGAGTTGACGAGGTCTGAGACAGAGGAGCGTGGCTCGGTCCGGCGGTCGGACTCATCGTGGGGTGTCTGGCCTGGCACCGGGGCTGTGTTCACCGCCTTCCCTCCTGCAGGCAACCTGGGGGCAGGGGAGTCCAAATGAGATTGGGCTGGGAAGTGAGCTGGGTTGGGCACCCTGGCCTGAGGGGCGGCAGGACCTTCTCTGAAGACCCCAGCAGCTGCCATCCCCGGCGGGCCAGCGGGAGCGGTACTCCTGTCCACATGGACACCTGGTTTTCCCTGGAGACCCATGCCTGGGGCCCATTCTCCTTGCAGCCCCTGCCCCAGGCGACTGTGGCTTAACTACTCCTATAGGGGATATTTGGGGGAAGTGTCCCCATTCTTCCTGTTCCCCAGAAACCCCCCACCCTCCAGTCATTGGCTTGCATAGTTGGTCTGTGAGCTGGCCACCGCCCCCACTCCCCAGAGGCTTGTTCTATCCCATCCGCCCCCAGCCTGGAAGGGGGAGGCTCCGCTGTGGCGTGGTGTGTCCAGGTGCCTCTCTGCGTCATTACCCTCTGCAAACACGCCCAGAAGGTCTGTCTCCCAGATGCCCCACCTGTGTTTGCTCGGGCTCATCAAGAATCCTCTTCCCACCCTCTAGACATGAGACTGACCAGGTGAGGTCAGGACAACTCTCCACAGTGACAGAGTAGTCTGTATTTGTGCTGTCCAGTGGAACAGCCGCATGCCGCATGTGTGCATTTGAGCATTTGCAATGTGGCCAGTGTGGCTGAGAGCTGAAATTTTAATTTTGTTGAATGTAAGCTCATTTAGGTTTAATGGCCCCATATTGGATAGGGTGAGTCTACACCCCCTTGTTCCCCAGTTTCCATCCTTCTCCCACTTGCTGAAGACTGTGCATTTGGTAAGGCTCTCACCCAGGGTCACAGAAAGACAGGCACCAAGAAGCCTTGTCTGCACCTGACTCCATGACGTTCCCAGGATGCTGGGCTCTTTGACCCAGTGGCTGGGTGGTGAGCCCAGGCTCCGTTCAGCTGGGGATCAGGACGGGGCACTAAAAGCCTGCCCAGGGACCAGGCTGGCATGTCCCATGAGGAGGAAGAGAGGTGGAGGAAGGCAGGGAGGAAGAGACGGGGGACCAGTAGCATGAGGCTCAGGACAGGCTAAAATAGAACAGCTTTGAGAACACACAGCCACAAACTGGGAGCCACACGCTGAGGGTGGACATGAGCCATGGCCCTCGGGTAGAGACCAGCCTCCAGTACATAGGCGACCACGACAGGCACAGACAGACATGCACAGAATATGCCAGGCCCTGGAGGGGAGATATCAGGGTCCCAAAGCAGGGTGCGTGTGTGCACACACACACGCATGCACACACGTACACACAAAGCATGCACACACACATGCGCATACACACACACATGCATGCACACACACATGTGCACACACAGGCACACACATGCACACGAGCCTCACAGACATCCAGAGGGGCAGGGAGAGGATGGCAGGGGCCACAGGCAGGCCAACCACAGCAGCAGTGATGACACACATACAGCGATGGCACACAGGGATCCCGAGAGGAGACGCGTTGGGGAGACCCAGGCATGCCACGAGTGCACGTGAAGGGGGACAAACTGAAACAGAAAGGGCAGGGAGTGGTTTCAGGGCCCAACATCCTGATTATCAGAAGCACGATACACCTGCTGTGAAAACCTGGCCCTGCCTCTACAACACGGAAACGCCCACTCCACCCAGCGACACGCGGGTGCCCCTCCCAGAGGGCCATGGCACGCATGGACATGTGGACGCGCACGCACCACACACACACGCACAGGAGAGGACACGTGCTCACACGGGCAGGCAGGGGGAAGGAAAGGAGCCCGAAACAGCTGGAGAGGTAAAGTCAGGTTAGAAACAGAGTGGGAGAGCAGGGAGAGTGCGAGATTGGCTGCTGAAGGTATGAGAACGTTAGAGTTATTTGGCCACGCCGCAGCGTCGGCACAGCTGCCAAGCAGCCTAGGAGAGATGGTCAGCGCCACTGAAGCTGTCGGAGGTCACAGGACAGAGAGACAGAGGTGAGAGGCACAGAGAGAGGCAGAGGGAGAGGCCGAGGGGCCCATCGCCGGCCCAGGGCAGCCCTGTGAGGAGCAGATGGGAGAAAGGAGATAGTGGGAGAGAGAGGCCAAGAAAGTTAGTCAGAGACGTGTGAAGGCTGCCAGGTGGACGAGGGGACAGGGAGGAGCGTGCGGCCAACAGGAGAGGCAGAGAGGAGGCGGGGGACACACACCGTGACAGAACATGGTGGCTTCAGAGTAGGGAGAGCAATGGGGGTGGCCTGGTCCCCGCCTTGCCCTGTCCCCCACTCGGGGTGGGGGTGGGCCGCGGTGGAAACCATTTGGATCCCAAGGAGCAGTGGTGAAACGATGGCAGACAGCATGAGGGGGTGGACACGAGCAGAGTGGCTGAGGGTGGAATGGGCACAGCAGGGCATGGAGCCAGGGCCTCCCTCCCTCCCGGGAGTGCAGTCTGAAGTGTGGTGTTGAGGCCCAGGAGCTGAAGGATCCTGGAAGGGGGACTTCAGGGACACCAAGAATCGTGGGGACAGAGGCAGTGACTGGCCCTCCCATCTCCTGCTGCTTGTTGGACACACTCCCACGCTGCTTGGAACCTGGAATGGCCACTCCTCCTCCCGGGGCGCTGTCTCCCATGAGCCTGCTGTTCACAGCCTCACAGGGGGCTGAGTGTCCTCCCCAGTGACAGCCAAGGGCCACTACCCCTTCCTCCAGAGACATCTGGTCAAGGGGTCAGCTGGGGAGGGAAAGGTGGGGCTGGGGTCAGAAGGGCAGACCCTGGGTCTAGAAGGAAAGGCTGAAGAGGGAGGGACAGCCACCCCAAGGCCACCACTCCCAAGTCTGAGGGTCCAGGAGCTCAGAGGGGTGGGGCCCTAAGCTGCCCGGCACCCAGTGGGTGGTGCTGATGCCAAGCTTTGGGAAGGGGAGAGTCTGCTGGGAAGGAAGCATTGGATTCTGGACCCCTGTGGCAGCCCACCAGCCGAGAAGCACCCCAGTGTCCATGAGGAATGAATTTCCAGGATAGGTGGGCATGACGAGGCTGGAATGGCACGGTCCACTTGGAAAGTCAGGCTGGGTGGTGGCGAGGGCGCACGGCCTCCACCCCCACACCCACCTTTCCCAGGAAGGCAGGGGACAAGCTGATGTGATGATCAGAAGGGATGGGTGTGTTAAATATGGAGTGAGACCTAAGTGGCAAGGAGGTAAAAATAGACTGTGGGTGACAATGGAGCCGGTTCATTAACACATGGGTGATGTGAAATCTTGTTTCCAGCCTGCTTCTGCTCCCTCACGCTTCACACCTTTCCCAGCACCAGTCTCAGCTTCTTAGTGGGCGTTCAGAGGACTCCAGCCACCCCCTATGTCTTCTCGCCCCTGGCTCCTGGCCCTCCCAGTGGCCCTCTGACTGCCCTGCAGCCTAGCTTTGAGACCCTGGCTCAGGAAGTCACAGCTCCTGTAGCAGTGCCTAGGTGGGTCAGGGGTGGCAGGCTCCACTCCTCTGGTACCCCTGCACATGGGCTCAGGGCCTGACACCATCTGTGCCACTCAGTGAAAGACCTGGCCCCACTCTCTGGGGACTTCCAGCCTTGCCCACCACAGACCATGCAACTGTGGACTCAGGATGGGAAGAAACTGGGAGGGATGGTCTCCAGGAACCACCAGAGGGACAGGCCAGCCAGCCATCTTGCCTCTCAGTCTATCCACCCTCCCTAGCCCACAAGCCCCCGGCAGCAGCCTGGGACAGTCCCTTCTGGCCCCTGGGGCCTCTCAAGAGCCTCAGGATGGCCTGTCCAAACAGTCCCTGCCCAGCTCACAGGACACATGCCCCAGCCCAAAGGCCCGTTTCCCTCATGAAAAGCTTAGCATATCTGAGCCTGAGGGGCCATTCCTTAGAGGTTACCCTGTCCAATCCTTCACTGGACAGATAAGTGAGCAGAGAACCCAGAGAGGGGCTGTGACTTGCCCAAGGCTGCAGAATGAGGCTCTGGCAGAACCAGAGCTGGAAGGCAGATGTCTTGGCTGCCAGGCCACACGCTGTCTTGCAGGCCTTTGGTCTGATGGGAAGCAGACCCGATCAAGGTGAGAAGCCCTCCTCCCATGATTCCCAAAGGCTAATTCATCCTGGAAACCACAGGTGTGGTCAACCCAACCTAAGGTCAGGCATCCACTGGCCCAGCTGTGGGATGTTGCCTGAACCCTGGGACCTCCCACCCTACCCCTTGCCCGTGAGCAGCGCCCCGCCCCCTCCTGAGACGGGGACAGGAGGAGATGCTTTCCTGAATTCCTGATAGCTGAGGCTGTGGCAGTTTAAATGCCCAGGCTTCTGCTTGGCCTGTGCTGTGGCCACACAGGCTATGCCTGGTCTCCATAGGGTCCCGAGGCCAGCCGCAGTGACAGGGAGCCCAACAAAGCCAGGCCTCACCCTTGCTCAGGACGGCTGCCTTCACTGCTCCGGGCCCTCCCCAGCTCTCTCCTGGTGCCCCGGCTCAGGGGAGAACCTTCTGGTTATTTCTGGTCACCAGGTCTCTCCCATGCCCCAGACCCTCCCACCATGGGCTCTTCTTCCATCAGCCAAGCAGCCCAACAGGACCTCCAGGCAAGAGGGGGGTTGAGAGGGTGGGGATGAGGGAGAACAGGCTGGCGCCCCTTCCCTAACATCCCCCCCGCCCACCAACCACCAGAGAAACAGGGATTTCCGGTTGGGGTGGGGACAGAGATGAAAGATGGAGGGCAGCAGAGAGGAGCCAAGCAGGAAGATGGGGCAGAAAAGGCTGCGCTTGCTCCGGGCTGGGGCAAGCATGCCGGAGAGCAGGCCTGATCCAGAATGGTCCCAGGATGGCCACAAGTGGCCTCAGACCCCAGGGACACCACCAAGGTGGCTGTGTGTGAGGGCACCGGCTGGGGAGGGGGCTCGTCCTCCCGCTCCAGCATCCGCTGAAGGCACCACCACCTCATCCAGCAGCCGGGGCCGGTCGAGGCAGGCGGCCTCTCCGCGCCTCCTTCTCTGCCGCCGCCGCCGCAGGCCCTCGCCTGTGCTCGTACCTCTTGTCCCCCTGAGCGTTCTGGTTCTGCTGGGTTCCTGGGTTTTGCAGGTCAGGGATATTGGCAAAGTCATCCTGTTCCGAAAGCCCTAAGACCAAGGATAGCACCACCATCCGGCCTTCCCTGCCCGGGGTGGGCAGCCCACCGGCCAGGGTGAAACGAGGAGGCCCCGTGGGCAGGGGCAGGGGGGAAGGAGAGAGAGAGAGAGAGAGAGAGAGAGAGAGAAAGAGAGAGAGAGAGAGAGACAGAGACAAAGAGAGAGAAGAAAAAAGTGTAAGAAACTGACCCTGCAGGAAAGAAAGCAAACTTCAGCACTGTCAACAGTTGCAGGATAGAGTGGGGAGAGTGGAGGCAGGGAGGGAGGGGAGGTGACTATGGCCTGAGACTCCACTGGCCCGAGTCAAGAGCAAGATTCTCCAGAGCTAAACTGCAAGGGGCTGGGCAGAGGCCTGCAGAGGTGGCCTATGGCTGGGACAGTCCCAAGGGAACACGGGGGGTAGGGTGGGGGGAATGGAGCATAGGCCCTGGGACCCCACAGATTTTCAAAGGCTAATGCATGCCCAGCTGGACTCGCTCTGACCATCTGGGCCACTGGGAGAAGAGGGAGGGGCTCCGTCAGTATCGGGCTCCGTCAGTATTCTGCACCGGCACCACGCAGGCTTAGAAAGTTTCAAAATCCAATGGGTACTGCACCCTGTCCTTATGGAAGCCCTTCATAGACAATGCTGTGTCACGGTCAACCAGATGTCCTTGAAGCCAGGCAGGGTCTAAGGAGCTACCTCCCCTAGGCTCCTCGATAAACAAGCCCATCAGAGGAGAATGAAAGTCCTTTGTGGTATATGGCAACTCGGCCACAGTGGCTGTCTCCTGTGTCCTCCTTGCTGGAGATCCAGGGAAAGAGCACCACCGCTGAGTCCAGGTCAAGGGCCTTTCATTGGAGAAGAGGTCCAGAAGGCACCACAAGCCAAGGTGGCAAGAAAGTGCAGGAACTTGGCAAGGTCTGGAGAAGTTTTGGCAGGACTGCAGGGAGCCTGTGCCTGCAGTGAGAGATCGCACTTTGAGGGAGCACAGTCAAGGCTGAACAGGCGGGGGGTAGGCAAGAGGGCGAGACTCTCTTGGAGTGGACATGTGGGCAGCTGTATGAGGCCAGGTGTGACACCGTTAGTAGGGGCATTCTCAGAGAACCATTGGGCAACTTGCCAGGGTCTTTGCGAGGTTACCCGCATTTGCCGAGGGGGAAAAGGGAGCATCAGTGGTGACCCTGCTGTCCCCATAGGCCATCAGAGTCCGTGAGCGTTTTCTGGGTGCTTTGTGGAGCTCCTCCAGCGTGGGGCCTCTCATCAGAACAAAAGGAGAGGGAGGGGTTCTCGGACAGGCCAGGCAGGAAAGCACGTCTCAAGAAGGGCCAAAGGGAAGACAGTAGGGCTGATGGAATATTCTGGAAGGGAGAGGATGCTGGGTCAGGATGTCTACCACTTCAACGTGAAGGGAGGCGAGGTTTACAGAGGAAGAGCTTGCTCTAACTTCTCAGAGTGGTTGTCAAAAAGGGAACAAACAGGTGAGAAACAGCCTCTGAGGTGAGGGGCGAGGGCACGAGGGTCTTGGAAAATGGGACATTACCTCTGGGGTCTCAGCGAACGGAGGGAGCTAAGTGGCTGCTGTGCCCCTCCCTGTCTTTGCATCTCTAGTCCTGGGCACAGTTACTCCAGGCTGACCCTTGTGCTGGGATCTAACTTTTGGGAAAAAAAACTCTGCCCCCTCCCTCAGGACAAATCCTCATTTTCTTTGTTTTCTGCCCACCGGTACTGTTTCAGAGTTGGTAAAATTCCATTTGGCTGCTCGGGAGCTAGTTGTGCTGGGGGAAGGCAAACTCAGTGAAAACAACATGTTTTTTCCCCGGTTAATGCATTTTTCAGATACTCCTTTTTCTCTTCTTAAAAACAGAACAGCTCCTCTGCATAAATTCCTGATTCGTCACTCTCTCCAGCTCTGCAGGCCGCGAGGCTTAGGATGAGGGGCAGGGGCTGGAGAGTGGAGGAAGAAGCTGGCAGTGTTAGGGGAGTCACGACCATCAAGCAGAGGGCTGCTGCCCTCCCTGCAAGGCGTAGGTGGGATGATGGGGGGCCAGGACAACCCTTGCCACCTGCTTCTCTACTGGAGCCACCAGCGTTTGGGCAAGAAAAGAGCCTCAGAAGCAGGGCAGCTAAATTGTAAGGCAGGGGGCAAAGTACGGCCCACGAGCTAAGAGTGGTTTTTACATTTTCACATGGTTGTTTTAAAGAAAAAAAGAATGTGTGATGGAGATCACATGCGTCTTGCAAAGCCTAAATTATTATCTGGACCTTTCTAGGAAAAGTTGGCCGACCCTTGATGTGAGCTCTGGAGGTTGCCAGCGACTAGGGGAACGTGAGACTTGTCCTGGGACACAGAGCAAGGACAGAGGATGCTTCTGCATGTGCGATGCTGGACCAATCCCGGTTCGCTGAGAAGGCAGCAGGCAGGGAAGAGATGGTACCCAGGTTCCTGGCAGGTCCCTGGCCCAGTCTGATGGCTGCTGGAACAGGAAGTGGGGTGACAGCTGTGACAAGACAGTCTGAGGTGTGGAGCAGCAGGGGCGTGCAGGCGCCCGGAAGCCTCTCAGTCCTGTTCAAGCCTCTGTCCCAAAACAAACCACCGCCTGGAAGACAGGAGGCTTTTCTGGGCATCTCGTCTTGTGCAGGCGTCCAGTTAGATTCCTGAAGGTCCTTGAGTGGGGTAGAGCCCCAGAGAATAGGGTGTCCTGATTTGCCAAGGAGAGTCGCGGGCAGCATGTCTTGCTGGCCATGGGCCACTCGCACAGGTATGGGAAGCTGGCATGGCAGGGCCTCTTCAGATGGGGTGCCTTGCCCAGGACAGCGCTCCCACCTGCCCAGGAAGCCCTGGCTGAGGTCTCAGAGGAGAGACACGACGCTCCGAGGAACTTGCTGGCCTTCAGAATCCCTATATCTTGCCAATGCTTCCCTTTCCTCCTCCCTTTCTCCTCTCCCAGGCTTAGTGTGCTGGTCTCCTGCTCCGTGAAAAGTGCTCCCAGGGAAGACCTGGGCGATGGGAAAAATCCCCAGGGCCTGGAAGGAAGCTCATGTTAGGGCAGAGGAGGGAAGTGATGTTGGGGATGGCAGCCCAGACCTGTCTTGGGCTCTGAGAGTGGGGGGCAGATGTCCAGAGGGATGCTGGGGAAGGGGCTTCCTGGGTGGGGCCCCTCCAGGGAGAGCAGGGGGTGGGCGAATGGCTGGAGGGAATGGTTAAGGTTCGACACTGATGCTGTGTTGTTACTTCTTAGACCTGTATGCTTGAAAGAAAGCTCCATTTAGAAACAACCTTTTCTAAAGCTTTGGGGCAACATCTCAGATTCGTCCTCAGGGGATGGGTCATTACTGGAGGAAGGAGACTTGGGAAGTCAGGGCGGGAGCTAGAGGACAGGTGGCTACAGAAGGTCAGAGAGATGGGGGAGGGCTGGTGGCAGGGACAGGGATAGAGGAAGTGAGAGGGAGGGAGGGAGGGGTGTGGGCCAGGAAGGCTAGCAGAGTCGGGTTACAGGGGAGAAGTAAATTGAAGGGGACGAGGCAGGGCTGGAGATGAGTAAAAGGGATGGGTTTGGGAGCAGAGCAGGGAGGAGAGAGGTTGCAGGAGTGAAGGAAGACCGGCTGGGAGGCCAAGAGCAGCCTGGGACTAGCTGGGGAGAAGAGATGTATCTCAGGGCATTGTCCAGTGTCTCCACCTAACTTTTAGGGGGGAACTTCCCTAAAGGCAGGGGTCCTCGTAGGGAGGTGGCTCAGAATCCTTCCATGGTGGCCTTCAGGCATGAGCCACAAGAGGCTAAGGAGGGGGCTGCCAAGTCTGCTTGGCACCCTGCCAAGGGGATGGAGGGCCGGGAGGTACACACAACCAGCTGCTTCCAAGGAGATCTAGGGGGCAGGAGGCTGGGTCGGGGAGGTGGGGGCCGGCCCGCTCAAGGGGAGGACTTACAGGAAGGATTTCATGTCCAAGCCTCGGTTTCGAATCTGCCCCACCACGTGGTCCCAGCTGCCCGGGTTGGAGCGGCTGCGGCCCCCCGCCGCCCGGTACTTGGAGCCGGCCGAGGTGCCCTGCCGAGCCTGGCCCCGGCCATAGGCCCGGGGGTTGGGGCCCGGCGCCGAGGCCATGTGGGCCTGCAGCTGGCCCAGGCTCTGGCTGGTGGTGGGCTGGCTGGGCTGCCGGCCCCGCTGGTGCTGGCTCAGCGGCTGCTGCAGGCTCTGCTGCCGCATCAGGGTGCGGGGTCGCTGGCATTTCGGCTCTCCCGTGGAGCTGGGGATAGACTCAAGGGTAGTGGCCGTGGACAGGGTGGAGTCCTCGAAACTTGGGGCAGGTGGAGGAGAGGAGAGAAAGGAGAAGCAGGTGAAGGGATCACAGTGGAGGAGAAAGAAGCCGAGGGCCAGGACTAGGAGGCCCCAGTGCAGGGTGCGCGCTGTCGGACCTCGCCAGGCCTCCATCGGAGCTGTCGCCGCTGCCGTCGCCGCCACTGCCTCTCCCAGGAGGCTGCAAAGCCCTCGCACCCACCCTGAGTCCCCAGGTCGGCTCCGCCCGCCCACCTTCTGGCCCTGGCTCAGCTAGTGCCAGAATACCTCCTGGCTAAGCCGACCTCCCTGCTGGTCTGAGTGGGCTGCCAGTGCTGCCAAGGCTGCGTGGTGAAGGCAGGTCCCCTGGGCCCTGCGGCTGCCTGTCATGTTGGAGTGGGAGGGGTGGAGGGAGCTGCTGTGGCTCCTCCCGCTGTCTCGCTGGGGGACACGAGGAAAGTCTGCCTCTGTGTTCTAAGTACTGCCATCCTTTGGAGACAGGAAGAAATCCAGGCCAGCACAGAGCTGGCCTAGTAATCCTGGGGAGGCCGGGGAAGCCATCAGTTCTTATACTTTGTCCACAGAGGTAAGGAAGCGGCAGACCTCTGCCCTGTGGCCAGCACCTCCTTAGGATTCAGGCTCTGGCATGGATCTTTGCCCTCTTTCCAGGGTTCTTTGTTTCAAAGGTCCAGCATCCTCTCCTGGGATCTTGGAAGTATCTCCCAGTCAGAGGACTGGACCAAGGAAAGAGTGCAGACAGGGTGGGAGCCCAGTATCCACTCATCTGACACTTCACCGCAGTTCTAGCAGAGAAGAGGGTGACTGTCTTTGATGCATTTGCAAGGGGGTGCTCTCCCACAGGCCCATCAGCATCTCTGAAGTGCACTGGGAAGTGGGGCAAGGACCGAGAACTAGGACATGGCTGGTCAGATTCTGTATAGCCTCATAGAGACCTGGGTTTGAACCCCACCTCTGCCACTTACTAAATATGGGACTCTGGAAAAGTGATTCCATCTCTCCGGGCCTCAGTTTCTTCATCTACGAAATGGGAGTAATAAAATAATCCCCGAGCTTCCTCTGTCACAGAGTTGCCATGAGGATCTAACGAGGTTGGGCTGTATTGAAAATGCTGTATTGGTAAAAGGTCCCCATGCCAGTGGTTGGAGTCCGAAGTCCCTGGCCTCCCCTGGAGAACCTGTCTGCTTCATGCGCTGGCTGGAGATTTCACCATATCCCACAGGCAGGGCCAGAGCCAGGCTGCCTCCAGGCACCAGAGCGGAGCCGGAGACTGGGCTGAATGAGCAGCTTTGGGTGAATCATTTCTCATCTTGGAACTTCAGGGTTCCAATCGTCTCCTCCTCTGTCCCTTCCCTCCACCTCTCAATCCAATGGCCCTGGGGAGGGGTTGGGAAGTCATTGCTTGTGGGCCACATCTGGCCTGCTGCTTGTCTCTGTAAATAAAGTTTTACTGGAACCAAGCCATTGGCATTAGTTTACATGCTGTCTCTGGCTGCTTTCATTCCACAATGGCAGGGTTGAGTCATTATGCAAGAGACTATATGGCTTATAAAGCCTAAATATTTTCCGAGTGGCCTTTTACTGGGAGTAAGTTTGCTGACCTCTGGTCTAGGGCCATGGGGCAGTCAAGTATCTCCCGGGCTGCCCAAGGGAGGAGGCCCCAGAGCCCTTGGGAGCCACTTTCACCACTGCAACCAGACCTCAGCTTTGCTCACCCTCTGAGCCTACCCTGGGAACCAAAAAGACAACAGTTAGGCTACCCCTGTGGGCTGAGAGAGAGAAAGAAAGAGAGTGAAAGAGAGAAAGAAAGAGTATAGTAAAGAGAGAGCGAAAGAGAGAGAGAAGAAAGCAAAACATGGCTTTAGCTGGGGTCTTGGAGGGGTGGCAGCCTTGCCTGACTCAGGCCTGAAATCAGGGCTACCTCCAGGGGCAGGCCCAGGCCTGGCCGGCCAGGTAGGCCCACGGCTCCCTGGGGGCAGGTCGAGGCAGAGGGAGGGTGGCACGTTGGCAGCTGCCTCCTCCTCCTCCTTGGTGACCTCATTTTGGTTTCCTATCACATCCAAAATTAGTCCAATTTACAACCTCTCAGTCACAGGAAACTAAAATTGGTTCTTCCAGGCCTGAAGCCAGAGGATGGCATGGAGGCCTAACTGGCCTGGAGACTGGCTGGGGCAGGCTGGGAGGGTGGGGCACTGGGCCAGGCTCTCTGAAGGGGTGTGTGGCTTCCCTGTGGGACCCTCCTGAGGCCAGATGTTGGGAGAAATTGGCTTGTGTGCACTCAAGCCAACTAGCGAACGAGATCTCAGTACGGTGGCCTTCAGTGCTCCCAATAGCAGGAACCACAGGTCTTCTGAAGAGAATCAGGAGCGCCCTCAGTTGAGGCAACAGGATGGCCCAACAGCTAGAAAGGGGCAGGGCTGTTGACCTGTTAAGTGGGAGGCTGCTCCATTAGCTGGGAGTTCCAACTTCTGAAAATGGAATTTATACCCCGAGGGAAACTGGTCACAGCTCAAAGGACTCGGTCTAGAAGGGCTCTACTGAGGGGAATCAGAAGTTTCCAAAGGCCAAGATGAGAATAAAGCTGCCCCATGAGAGGGGATATACTATCTGTGGAAAACAGGGGCCAATCCTACGTGCATCAGCCAAGAGTGGGCCTCTTTGACTAGCTCAGACAGCTATTACAGAGGGGATGGCTCCTTCTGCCTGATGTCTAGAACACCCCATGACATCTGGCGAGTGAAGCTAGCTGGGGTTTGACAACCCAACCTCCAGGAATACACGGTCCCAACAGCCAATGGTGGGATAGCTCGGTAACCAAGACTGGGACAGCCAACAGGGATGGCTGAGATGAGGATGAATCGATGGGGCAGCCTGTGGCTGCTCGTGAGTGGCTTCCACAACAGATGATGTATGGTTCGAGCAAGACTGGGACAGCCAGTGGAGTCACCCCATGGTCAAAAATGGAATGGCTCAACTTCTGGGTCTACAGCCGTCTGCTGGCAGTAAGAGGGAAAGCCTGGGAGCTGATGGGTGACTGTCAGGTTGAGAGTGGGCCAGATACTCAGGATGAGATGGAACAACCACAGGCCTGCTGCCCGTGGAGGGATGACCTGGTGGCTGAGATGGGGCGGCCAATCAAAGAGGATGGGATGACCCGGAAACTGAAATGAAGCTGCCCTGGGGGCAGAAAATGGAATGACCTGGTCACTGGCAAAGGAAGGGACTGATGGGGCATCAGCCAGAGGCTGAAATGCATCACTGTATGGCTGAGTTCGTCGTGCCAAATGGCAAGGATGATGGGAGAGTCTCATGAAGGGATGGAATGAGCCAGGGGCCGAGGACGGCACCTCTGGGGGCAGCAGCGGGCATGCCAGGGGTCCCGCTGTCCACCCTGACAGGGCAGGCCTGAGCTCACGGCTCCGGCAGCCATGGGGCGCCATCACTCACTTGGACAAGTTGAGCTTCCCTGCGGCCAGGTGGCTCTGCACCGTCCGCCAGCGGCCTCTCCCGGCCTTGCCACTGCTGCCCGGCTCGCTGGGGGCAGCCCCGCCGCTTCTCAAGGCGTCCTCTCCGGGTGGTGGCACCGGCGCCGGCTTCTCCCCCAGCCGGCCTTCCCGCTCCACCGCCAGCCCCGCCGCGGCGGCCACTTTGGCGCCCGACAGGAGGGTGCCACTGGAGGCATGCACAAGGCAGCCAGGCCAGAGGGGCACCGGGGGTGGCGGTGGGGGAGAGAGGGCGGGCCATACGTGGGGGTGGGGGGGTGGAAGAGGAAGAAAAACAACAACAGATAAAAGGAAGAAAGAGACAGTGAGAGAGGAAGAGGAGAGAGACAGACGGACAAGAGACAGACAGAGAGAGAGAGAGAGACATCAGCACTGCAAATGGGTTAACAGCGGAGCCTGCAGAGAGGAGAGAGGGGGACCGGGCGGGCTGGGGGTCGGAGAACAACGCACCACGACAACGGAGGGGGGGCCCCTCCCCACCGCCTGGGGCA